CCGTCATGAACACTAAATGTGATTTCAATTGCTTCAATATTGTGGAAGTAGTTCGCTCAGCAAGAGTTTTGCAAAAATATCTGGTTACCATGGCAACGCTAGGTGGCGCACAATCACAAAGGGTGTTTTTTATAACCACACTCATAGATCGTTATAGATACCAAATTTGACATTAATTGCTTAAATTCTGTGGAAGTAATTTGCACTATAAGGTTTGGTAAAATTGTGGTTACCATGGCAACGCTTTGTCCGACAAACACAAAAAAACATGTCTCGCACATCTACCCCTCAATGTCATCACATACACCAAGTTTCATTTCTTTTTTGCTTCAAAACTATAGAAGTAGGACCACGGTTGCTTTATTTTGGGGGTTTTCCTGTGATTATGTAATGAATAAATGATGATGTCATAATGACGTCATTTTCACCACCTTTCCAGCATCAATTTTCTTGGAGCATAGCCTTTTTTAAGAAGGTACATCGTTAAGATAATTTGGTGAAAAAATCATGCTTTTGTCCACCGTGTCACGATTTTTTCACTAAGCTACCCCACTACTACAAATCCACTTAGCAGCCACACACCCCTGTCAACCAGTGTCATTCTGTGTATATACGCATAATTGTGAAGCATGATAATCGTAGAAATATGTAAATAATTTCTCTTGACAATAATAACGCACTCAGGTCTTGCCGGCAAAGCCCTCGCTCTGTTACGGCTGAGCGAAATTCAATACACATAGCGATGATAATAATTATTGATCATCAAAGGAGTGATCATTACTGCATGATTGCGTGTACCTTCCTCTTTTGAAATTCACTTTTAAACTATGCAGGGGGCGTGGTACTTCCCTTTACTTCCATCAATAACAAAATTAGAAAAACACAAAATTTGAAAGAGAAACAAACATTGAACAGGTAAAAATAGTTATGAGAAATTTTCCGTTCTTGTTAGTTATATCCTAAGTAAGGCTATACATGACTTGTGTCTCCTTAAAAGGGTGGCTCTCCAAATGCCATCATTCGAAATAAAACAAGAAATATCTAAAGGTTTGGGACTAAGGATTTATGCCACATGTTGTATAGTCCCATGTGTAATATAACCTCTGACATTTCTGCGAACTATATCATTTAGCGTATCTGATTGTATCGCAATACTGCAGGGGAAATGTCGCAAAAGACATCTTATACTTTGTAAATGATATGTTGATCTAGAAAGAATGGGTGTCCTGTCTGAGTAAGTATTTCGCTGGAAAGTAGTATGATATAATATTGTATAGTGTACATTTCATAGGCGTGTAAGGCGGGGGCAGAGGCGACATTCCTCCCCCTCCCCCGAAACCGACAAGATTTTGAATGCCCTATCTAAGTTGATTCTAGAACAATAAAAGTATAAATCTGACATATTTTCTTGATGAAAAACAGACTAGTTCATCGTGATAATAATATACAGATACTAGGATACTGTATCCGTCAATGGGTATATCGGCACCCCTAATTCCCCGGTGAAAACGTGCCCACGATTATGCAACGGCATGCAAAGCCGACAATAGGGTGAAATCCGCGGTTTTAATTTAAGCCCTTTCATTTGATTTTCTGTATAGCGTTTCTTTTCATGTTTTAAGCCCGTCTAATCTTAACCATACTGATTATGTAACATGCCGGCAGAGCATAACGTACCCACCCTTCACCCTTTATATGAATGAACGCGACTGGATTGTCCTTTTGTGTTCTCCACCCCCTTAATTGTGAGCCGAATTCCAACCAACCCCCCCCCCCGCTATTGACGGACGTATTACTCATTGACCCACACCCTTTTCTTTCTTCTTTTTGAGCCAAAAAGCCGGTTATTTTCCCACGTTTTACCATGGATCGTTGCGGTGTTCTGACCGAGAATCATATTAAGGTCGACCTTTGATAAAAATCACGAAAGCTCGCAGATCAGTGGTTCTCGCATAGTAATAATATATCAATGACATTACATTAGTTGTCGCATATAGAAATATATACAGTGTATTATACAATGTAGTTTCACTGGAAATTAAAATGGTACTAGTAGTACTAATAATAATATACAGTATTAATTTAGAAATTGTAATAAGTTCTTGCATAGGAACAGTAAATAGTCTAAATATTAATTATTAATATTAATTGGGAATCTCGCCCAGCAAGCCTATAGATTCCATTTTTTCCCTCTCAGTTAAATCAAGCAATATAAAATATTTTGTCTAATTCTCAAAAAATGTGATCTGTAAACTTATTTGATTACGAACATACTTGTCAGTATTTCGTTACTTGTATAACTCATTTGTTCTATTATATATTGTATTACTGTATGGTTTATATTATGTCATTTAATTTGTGGATATCTGAGTGGAAAATAAATCAAAGAAAATCAAATCTAATCAAATCAAATATCAATTATAATGCTTCTCGCATATCACATTGTGATAGGGTAATTTCAAGATAAAGTCGACCATTTTGATGTCCCATACGTCATCGAGTACTTTGTTGTTGTCAATAATTGTAGTTGGTGACGTGTCATTTCACATGATAGTTGGTGTTATCACGTTGATGCAAGAGAGGTGCATGCAAGCACAAAAAAGGCAAACCCGGGAAGGATTTTTTGTTGTTGAAAATTTCAAAATAAGTAGATTTAAAAAAAATAAAAAAACACTTCGGCGTATTGGTAAACAAATTCATTTAAATTCTTGAAATAGTTAGCCTTATAAGCTCTTTTTCTAAAGCAGGAAGTCAGTATCTCATAATCCCCCATAAGCCACAACAATAACCATGAATTTGCACTCAAATTAATACAACCTTTGCGGTTGTAACCATTCTAGTTTTTCCTAAAAAAATTGAAACGTTCGTTTTCGCACGCTAAGTTCACCCATTATCATACGTAATCATCCGGATATTTTGCTGTAGATGTAGCTGCTGTTCTTGTTGCTTTTGTTGCTGTTATTGTTATCATTTTTTTTCTTCAGTTAAGATGATAATTAATTATTATAATAAATCAATTATAGCTTCATTAAGTTGATTTATATTGCTCATGTATCGACCATGATGGCTTTATAGCTTACCTCAAGGAGCTAAAAACATTCACAGAATGTCAAGTTCTGTCAGGTCCCCATTTACTGAACCTGGGTGGAGAGTGGCAAATGTAGATGATAATAAAAAAAATTACCAAAGGATATTATAGTAGGCCTACTGCGGCGGGACTCGAACCGCGAACCATTGTGACCCACAATCCAGTAACGTTATCCATTAGACCACGTATAGAGAGGGACATTGATTATTAGATGTTTTTCTTTTGATTAAGTTAAGGGTAGGCTATAAGGTTAGGCATAACTTTGGTCAAGATATACAATATTTGAATAAACTAGGAATTCGGATAGTATATATAGGAAATGTATTGCGTAGCAATTATCATTGTAGACCCAAAGCACGATTGCAAAGCCTTTCAAGAAATCAAGGTCTGGACACGTCACAGGTCTGATACAACTTTAAACATTACTGGGCCCCGTCTCATAAACAATTGCGATTAATCGCAGCTTATTTACGATTGATATCAATCGCAAACATGTACATAAGACATAGGAGACGGCAAACTTGTGATTGATTAACGGACTTGCGATTGGTTTGAATCAGTCGCAACTGTTTGTGAAACAGGGCTCTGGTCGGATCAAATAGCAGCTTTGGTATTTGACATTAATGTTTAGAGTAGAGAAATAATCAGACGATCCAATGTTTAATCCTGTCCAGACATAATACGATTGTCTTCGTGATCAAATCCGTTGAACCAGCTTGAACTCGCCTTGTGCAGGCTTGTCTATTTCCGGTTCAATTTCCTATCCACTTCCGGTATTACACCACTCAATTTCTAGTCTCTCTTCCAGTATGATTTTATATAATCTCAAAATAAAAACAAACGTTCTCTATACCAATTTGCAAAGCACGAAGTGTATACTGTCGATGAAATAAGGATTAATTTACGTTCATAATTATAGTAGAACATAACCTGATAATTTTCATTCTTGACATTTAACAAATTATGCTCTTTTTTTTCTTTCTACACTCAGCCTATTTTGTCCGTTTTTAGATCACAGTCTGATATCTAAGGCTAAGTACTTCCTGCTATACGTCAAAATAAGAAGCTATTATTCTCCAGTTGTCAAAATAAAGTACAGGGAAATATACATTAAAGACAAAGTTTACAGAACATATCAAAATACTTGTTATGGCTTATTATAGTTTAATTCTTATATGGTACGTTAATTCACATCTGTAAGTATTGAATCGAAGTTGGAAAACAATGACGTCACCTGTCTTCATGAAATGATTTGGACAATAATGATTCATTCTTGAGCAATGAAAGTTCTGGGAAGATATACTTTATCTATCAAGAATTTAAACCATATATTGTTACAATCATTTTCATGAAAAGAGTTGAAAGAAAAAAATAACAATTTTTCAACAGAACAGTCCCTATCTCCCGCCCCCCCCCCTTCTCTCTCTCTCTCTCTCTCTCTCTCTCTCTCTCTCTCTATCTCTCTCTTTTCTTCTCCCCTCTCTCTCTCTCTGTCTCACTCTCTCGACCCCTCTTTCATTCTAACTATGAAATATGCTCCGTAAAGATTCAGCTGATCTAAAACTAAAAGGTCTACCAATGGGCTCGCTTGGTCTCTATATACACAAGGCTTTTATTTCTTAAATGTCTACTGTAATAATACTAGGCCTAAATGATAGGCCGATGCCCAATTTTTATTTAAATATCGACTTTTGTCGTCGTGGGTATGTATTGAAGCAATAGCTGGACTTATAATTTATGAAAGAAAAAACAACATATTTCTGGCGATCATATTCGAAAAATTTAATCTAAAATGTTTTTGCCACCTTCCCTTTTCTGATAATAGATCCACTTTTCTATGATACAAAGTATGACGTATTATTATTATTATCACTATTCTTAATATTTATATATTTGACTGATTTTTTTGCAGATAGATAAAAGAAGTGATCAACATGTATGCTGAAACGAAAAGACGGACTTATTTCCAGATGGGGATTTTCCTCGTTGGAATCGGATTCCTACTCTCACTGCTTGGGGTGTACTACGTCAACGGGCTCACCTATATCGGCTCGACCGTGTACGGTCTGGCAACGCAGAGGGCAGCAACACTATGGGGAGGAATTCTGGTAAGAGGAAGATTCCAAGTCAACCACGTAGAGCCCTGTTTCATAACACTTGTTATAAATATCAAATGCTTAATTGCTATGACGAATTTGCTCTCAGCCAATCAAATGCCACGATTAAAGTAGCTTATAACAGTGAGTGTAACTTGCTGTTGATAACAAGTTTTATGACACAGGGCCCAGATGCCTTTGATACATGTAACAAGTAAGCGTTAGTAAGGAGAAACTAATTATTGTATCACTATTATTTTTTTTATGGATTCAGTTCTCCCGTCAATCAAGGATTATTAAAATAATTTCTTGTCGTTTATATATTTTCTTTTTAAGGGAGCAGTGGCTAATGCAAACTCCTGCATATCTTTACAATCGTCACAACAAATATTTTTATAAAAAAAAACATCAACAATATAATATTAAAAATGAACAACATTATAAATGCAAGATTAATGTAGACATTTTTTATGCAAAATGGATTAAATAAAAAAGGAAGGTATTCTTGACTGGAAAGATGAACTCTAAACAAGGTTTAAAAACAAAGGTAAAACTTGTTTGGTAATTTGTTTTTTCTTTCTCTATCATTCTCTCTTTCTCACTCTTTTACTTTCTCTCTCTCTCTCCCCCCTCTCTCTCTTTCTCTCTCTCTCTCTCTCTCTCTCTCTCTCTCTCTCTCTCTCTATCTCTCTCTTTCTCTTTCTATCTCTTTCTGTCATACACAGCTTGTCTGCCTTGGCCTGAGGAATGTAACCCTTGGTCACCCTACCAACAGATTCGCTACAGACTCCATGTGGGTGAGTACAAACAATAGGAAGAAGAAGAAGAAGAAGCAGAAGAAGGATGAGAAGAAGAAGAAAGAGAAGAAGAAGAAGAAGAAGAAGAAGAAGAAGAAGAAGAAGAAGAAGAAGAAGGATGAGAAGAAGAAGAAAGAGAAGAAGAAGAAGAAGAAGAAGAAGAAGAAGAAGAAGAAGAAGAAGAAGAAGAAGAAGAAGAAGAGAAGAAGAAGAAGAAGAAGAAGAAGAAGAAGAAGAAGAAGAAGAAGAAGAAGAAGAAATAGAAGAGAAGAAGAAGAAGAAATAGAAAAGAAGAAGAAGAAGAAGAAGAAGAAGAAGAAATAGAAAAGAAGAAGAAGAAGAAGAAGAAGAAGAAGAAGAAGAAATAGAAAAGAAGAAGAAGAAGAAGAAGAAGAAGAAGAAATAGAAGAGAAGAAGAAGAAGAAATAGAAAAGAAGAAGAAGAAGAAGAAGAAGAAGAAGAAGAAATAGAAGAGAAGAAGAAGAAGAAATAGAAAAGAAGAAGAAGAAGAAGAAGAAGAAGAAGAAGAAGAAATAGAAAAGAAGAAGAAGAAGAAGAAGAAGAAGAAGAAATAGAAGAGAAGAAGAAGAAGAAATAGAAAAGAAGAAGAAGAAGAAGGAGAAGGAGAAGGAGAAGAAGAAGAAGAAGAAGAAGAAGAAGAAGAAGAAGAAATAGAAGAGAAGAAGAAGAAGAAATAGAAAGAAGAAGAAGAAGAAGAAATAGAAAAGAAGAAGAAGAAGAAGAAGAAGAAGAAGAAGAAGAAGAAGAAGAAATAGAAAAGAAGAAGAAGAAGAAGAAGAAGAAGAAGAAGAAGAAATAGAAAAGAAGAAGAAGAAGAAGAAGAAGAAGAAGAAATAGAAGAGAAGAAGAAGAAGAAGAAGAAGAAGAAGAAGAAGAAGAAGAAATAGAAAAGAAGAAGAAGAAGAAGAAGAAGAAGAAGAAGAAGAAGAAGAAGAAGAAGAAGAAATAGAAGAGAAGAAGAAGAAGAAGAAGAAGAAGAAGAAGAAGAAGAAGAAGAAGAAATAGAAAAGAAGAAGAAGAAGAAGAAGAAGAAGAAGGAAAAGGAGAAAAGGAATGATAGAAGGAATTGGATTTGTAATTACGATTTTGCACTTAACCCAGCCCTCTCTGGGAAATTGTAGAGCCTAATATTTACCTGTAGTTGCTTCATGAAAGCAGGTGTTGGCCAGTGCAAAATCACTTATCCAGGAAAACAAAATATTGCGCAGCATGATGAACATTTCATGTTTCAATGATGATATTTCCTACTAAAATCATGGCAAATGATTCATACATAATTATTATTGTTATTATTATCATTATTGTTATACATTTTTTGTTTTCTTTCTCAGGACACATTTTCAGCCATCTTCACAAACCTGCTCGCTTTCCTCATTTCCGGTGCTGTCGTCGGGGTCACGCTCTGGGGTCATGTAGACTTTCTGAAGGACGCTGATGTCACCACACTCGAGGGTAGCACGGAGGTAATTGCCCCCTCCCCCCCCCCCCCCCCCTTGTACCCTTTTCTCCCTCCCCCTTCTCCCCCCCCCCCCTCTCTCTCTCTCTCTCTCTCTATCTCCCTCTTTCCCCTCCCTCTTTCCCCCTCTTTCTTCCCTCCTTCACTTTCTTCATCCCTTCCATCCTCCCTCTATCTCTCTATCTCTATTTTTTGTGTAATAGTCCCCAGGGACACAGATATATCCAGAGGGACCACCTAGGTCCAAACCCCCTTTCTTTTGGTCGTCATGTTTTGATATTAACTGGACCCCACTTTTATTCTTGCTTGATACAGTTTTTGTTGGTTTGTTTTTGTTCATTTAAATGAACATGATTTCAAAAGGCGCCTCTTCAAGATTTTGAAAGTCCTATGGACTTTGTTGTACAAAATTCATGAATGATCTGCTCCCTAAAACAATCTAAATTTTTCATTTCATGTTCTATATTCACTTTAACTTCAAAAGTACATACAATTAAAGTCAGGTTTACAAGATTAAAGTTAACATAATGAATTATATTGCAAAGATACAATACCTTCAGGGAGAGAAGCAGAAATAACAATCATATTTTTTTGTAATTTTTCTCTTTTCTCTTCTTCTAGCTTGTAAACCTGATCGCTATTCTATTGTTGGGTACTCTTGGTATGCTCACAACGATCGTTGGTTGCATCGTAGCCTGCTTCCCTATCTCAGACTCAGACGGTCAGGTGAGTACGGTTAAAACACCGGATTAATTTTCAAGTGCAGACGCTATCATTTGGGTTAAACTGAGCAATAGGACCAGTTTTATTGTATGAATGTTTTCGAAGGGTTACATTATTTGGGTTAATGTGGGTAGTAATGATTAGTCGTTCTTAAATTTTGATTTGATTTGGCTTTAATTGTTAGTGACAGAGTGAGAACGGGTAAAACACCAGATCAATATGCTAGTGTGAATGCTCTACATGTGGGTTAAATCGGGATTAATGGACCAATACGTACAATGTGAACGCATTCTAGTAGGTCCTAGAGTATTGGAGATAGTGCAGGCAATAATTTGTTGTTCTCTGAAAGTGGATTTCATTTTACTTTGAATGTCACTGGTATAGGTTTGAAACTGGATTAATTTTAAGTGTGAACACCATCCTGGGGGTTAAATCATGTTTAGTGGACAAGTTTTATTGTAAAGATACTTGTGTTGCTAATGCTAATCGTATTAGTCAGAACACAGCTTTAATATTGGGCTGCAATGTGTGAAAGCTATTCTAGGGATTAAAGCAGGGTTATAGTTCACCAATATTAATGTGTGGATGTTTTTTAGGGGGTCAGATTAGTTGAGTTGTTTATTCTCCTATAAGTTAAATAGATTAGGCCAGAGATGAAACAGCTAATAACAGCAGAATTGAGTGGTTAAATTGTGTAATACCCATCTAATACTTAGCTAATAACGCCCTTCTCACATTGTACCCACTAAATAGCCAAATTAAACTTCAAGTTTACCCATTAAGTTTGGAATATTTTTGTTCTTACCTCTATTCATGACATGCTTTTGACAAGATTCAAGATTCAAGATAATTTATTGTCATGTAAAAAATACATAAAATTTGCCTTCGGACATTTAAAAGGTGCTATACATGTACATACAAATATTATGATAGAGAGGGTGTTAGTGATATTTTCTCTAAACTTTATTGATTAATCTCTATCTTGATTTAGATGGATCAATAAAGTTCTGAGAATAAATAAACCTTATTTAATCAAGAATATAATTAATCATTTAATAACAAGAGGTAAGGAAAACATGATTCCAACTTCATGGGCACCATTGCATTAGAAAGCTTTATTGCTATTCCCATAATGATATTCACTGCTTGCTTTTAGTATATATTATGCCATTGCATTTTACATTTTATTCCCTTTCATTAGTGAGCTGGAATAATTTGTATATTTATTAACAAGAGAGGCATTATAGAGGTGTTGAAACCATATACATTACAAACTTGACATCCTCTTAGCTCTCAAATACGACTTTATTTCATTTAAAAAGTATAACCTAAACTGATTTAATAACAATAATGATAATAATACAAAAAATAAAACCCATATTTATTTACACAGATGTGTAATATGATCCTGTAGTAATTTCTTTGGAACCGCTCGTTGCTCTTTTTTGTGGGGGGGGGGGCATACTTACACTCCCTTCTCAAATACTACTTTATTACATTGAAAAAAGGTATTACTTATGGAATTAATGACTTAAATCGACTTAATACTGATAATAATACAATAAATAATGATACTAGTATTCTACTTCTGCTACTGATACTTCTACTATCTCTAATACTTCTAATAATAGTGATAATACGCATGTATAAAATAAAAATAATAATAATAATAACAACACTAATAGTGATAGTAATAATATTAATTATTTAAGAACGCTAAAAACAAAACTACCATAAAGCGCGAACAAAATGACAGAATTTGAAGAGAAACCTGAAAATAATACATGAAAACGAATGGCAGAGACGGACAAGAACCAAAGAGGCTTAATGGCTTAATGGCAATTTCTGGTGGAGATCTATTATTTAAAGCGGAACTGCACTACTTGTAGCTACTTGCGCCCTCTATACAGCCAACAATATAAGCGGTGCCCGTTGGTCCCCCATGATCCCCTTATTCTTATGTTAATTGAGAGCTGACTTGATGAGATAACTAACCCCTCCTGGCCAAACTATGCAGATAGGAGATTTGAGCATTGCAAGACACCTATTAATATGCCTATATAGCATAACAATAAGTTCCATATCATCCAAATCGCATGTAACTAAACAATTACAAATAAACACATTATATTAACTCAACCCGATCACAATTACTACTTACGAAACATCATCTCGAGGGCAATTTAAATAACCTAGAAAAAACGGAATGAAATTATTTTTTTATCAACAGTATTTGGTTGTTGGTATATAAAAGGGGGTCAGTATCCTTTAAACGGATCTTTGAATAAACTGAATTTTTGGAGAGCAATGAATAAGTCAAACAAGCCATTTTATGACCATGATTAATTTTCACTCACATAGGCGCCCCCAGCCGGTGAACAATACGCAATGGAGAACCAGGGCTTTAACAAACACTAAAGAAACAACAACAACATCAAACTTAGAACTAGGTAAGTTAGTGATTATTAATGAAATCGCAATAAAGGCAGAACTAACATCAAGCTGAAAATGATTTCAAGTTGAAGCAAACTTTTCAATTTCTCCCTATAGTTTTATTTTCCTTTTTAAATTATTTTTTAAGCATTGCCTTCCTTAAATAAGTTATCAATTGAGAGTTTAAAAGAATTGGCTTCTAGTAATTTTGCTTAGATTTTCCTTTATCAACACATTTCCGCCATTAAGCTTTCTCTCTTTGCAGTGCACGTAGGCCTACGTGCTTTTCTTTGCGTAGTTGTGTTTATTATGGTGCAGTATAAACCAGCAAAACAAACATATTTCTTTTTTTAAAACATAAAACATAGATTGAAATTAATTCATATCTTTTAGATCATCACCTTCATGTTTTATCATTTTCAATTATTTTTTTGTTTTCTATCATTCCATTACTTCTCCTAACTCATTTGCCGGATTTCTGTCGTCATCTTTCCATTAAGTATAGTTTGTTAAACTTATTCAACGTGTATATTAATCAGGGGGTTTCTATGAAAAAACTGTATTAATTGTATTGTTTGGTATTTAGTCGCCGCTTAATGGATCTCACTTAGAGATTTTATAATTATGTAGATTAAAAGTCTTTCTCCTTTTTGTTCTCTCTCTCTTTGTTCTGTCTCTCCCCTCTCTCACTCTCTCTCTCTCTCTCTCTCTCTCTCTCTCTCTCTCTCTCTCTCTTCTCTCTATCTCTTTCTCTCTCTCATTCTTCTTTCTCTTTCTCTCTCTCTCTCTCTCTTCTCTTCTCTCTCTTTCTCCCTCTCTCTTCCTTTCTCTCTCTCTTTCTCTCTCTCTCTCTCCCATTGTCAACTTCCTTCTCTCCTTCATGAGCATTTCCCATCATTTTTCGAAGGTGATGGAAAAGAATTAAAAAATCAGCTAAGTCATTGTGACGTACTTTGTGCGGCACCGATTGAAATCTACGAACACGTCAATGACATTAGATAACAATTTGAACAATATACATTGAAATTGATGGGCTGTTCATTTCTTAAAAGTCTTGTTAAACTTAAAAAATAATGACAAATATATATATATATATATATATATCTTTTTCTGTTTTTGCAGCCTTTCCCCTATTTCTTTTTCCTCTCGTTCTGTCTCTCAACCCTAACTCTTTTTCACTCCCTCCCTCCTTCATTGCATTTTCCAAAATTTGTAGGCCTGATCCTTTTCACAACCAGTTTAATCTTTGCTATTCATTCGTTAAAAATAGGCCTATAGCCTTCCATAAAATAATGTTGTCATCTTGTAAAAAAAAAATGGAATGACATTACCTCATAGGTGTATGTATTTTTAAAGATTTATTTTCCTTTTTTATTTGTTTGATCGCTTTGTATTTAGGCATGAATTATATAATATTTTATCTCTTCCCCTCCGTTTTATTTCTTTCGATACAGGCATAAACGATACCCTTCAAACTTCGTAGAGTGAGCTTGAAACTCCAATTGAATCTACGCCCTCTCTCGTCTGGCAGCACACAACGCAACATCGTCATCGCCGCAATATACTGCCCAGTTCAATTTATTTATTCCTTTGCGTAAAACTACACAGTATGCGAGAAACTCAAACAGTATACAGTTACGGGACATTTCGATATTAACTAAAAAGGTTGTTGAAGAGATGTTTCAAATATGGACTATAACATGCCATTAAAGAAAAAGATCTTTAAAATTAATCCGGGAAATTAACATCATCAAACACCGTAAAACCCCTGTCTGTAAAGAACGCAGAATTTTGGTTTTTGAGATCTATATTAATTTTTTTTTAAATAATTATTAATGAAACAATTTGATAACTTTTTAAACATAGTTTTAGTGTGTTTTTTTTTTTTTTTTATTTATCATGGTTTATTTACCATCCGTGTGTATCATAATTTTTTCTTGTAAAAAAAAATTAATTAGAAGTTGAAAACCACTTTTTAATGAAAATGAGCGTTTATAAGCACAATCTGATATATTTATGGTAAGGTATGTAGACTAGCACTTTGGTTAAAGCCTGTATTTTCGTATTATATAAATGTTTTTTTTAATTGTGTAGTTTTACAACATTATGATGCGCAAGAAGAAAGTAGTCCCGAATTATGAATTAGTTGTTCTCACAAATTTTTTAACCAGTTTTGCATCACGGTAATGTTTTATTGGTCTTCCTTCACGACTTAGACAACTAAATATTTTCAGCGATTGTATTTATCCCCACCGGCCGTACACGATTGTGTGGTTTCGAGTTATTAGCTCTCGATAAATATACCTATAATTTAATGTTTCAGAGCAATCTACAAAATAAATGAACAGTCTCAAATATTTTAAAAAAATAGTTTGTTGAGACGATCCCTGAATGCATTCTCGTTTTATGAAACTATCAAGCCAGGGACTGTCTCGACATATTGCCAGGTTGATTTTGTTTCGAAAATGATCTGTACCCTTGCTGCACTATTAAATAATTAGATATGAAACTGCAATAACAAAATAATATTAGGTTTGACAATGCTTCTGAAATATTATTTTTATGTGAAGTTTGGTTAAAGGCCTATATCCCGTTTGATGTTACTGCATTGTGATGTAATTTTATTATTTGTCTTAAATCAGAAGTATTGCAGTTCCCTTTTACCCGAGATTTTTATATTCGCCATTTTGTGTGAGTTTTTGGTTTCCTTTCAGAGTAAGATAGTTTGTAAACACTTGAGTATTTTATTGAGATTAGAGTTATTGATTTGGTTGGTTTATCGCACGCACAACTCTTCACGTGGCGTATTACCTGACGTTTGTATGTTACTAAAGGTTCGTTCATATACGAAGCGGGAAACCGCAGCGGTTTATTTCCCTTCTTCTTCTTCTTCTTCTCCTTCTCCTCCTCTTCCTCTTTCTTCTCCTTCGTCGTTTTCTTCTTCTTCTTCTTCTCCTTCTTCCTGTTCTCCTTCTTCCCTTTCAGACGTGTAAGGTCCTATACGCGTATCTACATAGCTCTGTGTTATAAGAAACAGAAACGTGAACGTTTACGTCATCTTGAAAGGAAAAAAAAACGCTGCGGTTAACCGCGCCGTATCTGAACAAATCTTTACTTAGATTCAAATAATTCAATGGGCATTAAAACAAATCATGGACTTCAAATCAATATATTTCTGCCATGAAAATGAAAATAATTATCGGAATTATTATGCTGCCCGAATATGAAAGTGCTTCGATATTCGGTTATTTGTATAGGCCTTTATGGAATTTAATAGGCAATTTGTTGAAATTGTGATGATTGAAGAATAACAAAACAAAAAAGAACATCACCAAGGGATAATTAATGAAGTTCTGGTATTGAAAAAGGCTATTGAAGAGATTAAGGAATGTACATTTTCTTAGCCGTATATATTTTTGTAACGAATTTGGTTATATTTTGTTGAGAATTATGTATATATTACTCTTATTATAATGTTCCTGGGCCCTGTTTCATAATAACTGTTATCCAAAGCATCTGTTAATAGTTATAAGGTACTTAAATCTTGGTATATGATTGGCTTGGAGCAAAAAATGTTGTTACATCATTTTGGCATTTAGTGGTTATTGAGTTATGAAACGGGGCCCTGAAACGTTAGAATTTCAGAAAACCGTAGACTGGTGTGATATTTATTGTTAACATTTTTAAATCAACATTTTTTCCACAATTTTGGGGAATCTGTTATCACTTGATTGTGACGTACGGGGCAAGGCACAGAATTGTATAGATAATAATTGAAAGTACATGATATATATACGATTTTGAAATTACAGTCAAAGCTGTTTGAGTGGCCACCTCTCCATAAAGGCCACCTGTCTATAATGGTCACTTGAATTGCCTCCCTCTATAGGGGAACATGTGCTGAGGAACCTGTATAGAAAGACCACCTGTCTACAGTGACCACTTTTTCTGTTTCCAATGGGTGACATGTATGACTGTATTGGATAACATGGCTATTTTCCGACGTTGAGTGCGCTTCATGTTTTTTTTTAAGATAACCAATAAATAAGCGTTCTGTATAACCTTAGAATCACTTTGTGTGTGCTGTTTGTCATAATTGTAAATGAGTGTGCTTACAAGTATTCGTTTGTTTATAGAAAAGACAGAATACCGGTTAAAAATATATAGATATAGGCCTACCCTGCTCTTTCTCGTCTATACTTTCCCCCTTCTTGCCTTCTCCTTCTTCTTCTTCTTCTTCTTCTTCTTCTTCTTCTTCTTCTTCTTCTTCTTCTTCTTCTTCTTCTTCTTCTTCTTCTTCTTCTTCTTCTTCTTCTTCTTCTTCCAATCAGGGAGAATCGATTTGTATCCGTGGTTGGGGGGGGGGGGGGTGATAGGTTCCACAATATTTTCGGCAATGTATCAAAACAATCAAGAGGTTGAAGCGTGTGGCAGGTTGCACCCCCTCTCTTCCAAGTTATTAACTTTGTCAATTCACCCTCAATAAAGATAACATTTCAGAGAATATAAGAGTGGTAATAAAATTAATAACATGCTAAATGTTAGTCCTGACCCTTGCCTGCAGTGTAGGCCTACCAGACTGGTATCATCTATTTTTAAACGAAATTTAAACATTACCCAACAAAATCCAATGGTGAGGGATATCAACTTGTGAAAGTATTATGTTACCAGCGGGCAAATGCATTAATAAGCAACCAGGAAAGGTTCATGCAGACAGAAAATTCTTTATTTCCTGGTGATAGAAACATACATTTTATGAATATTGATGTCTTCAAACAACATTCATCGTGAAAAAACCCATTCCAATATTCTGTGTAAAGATATCTCAAAAAACATAGTTCTCATTAGTAAACGAAAAACATATTACTTTTGGTTCTTCATTTGACTCTCTTCCTTCTTTAATTAAACCAACGGAATCCTCTCTGCGGGAAACTCAATTCAATGAAACAGAATATCACTGATGCCAAATTTGGTTCTCAAAATGACAGAAAATGTCCACTCCTGATCTCATTCAAACTGTCTGTTTCTTAAAAACATAATATAAAACTTACGTTCCAACTACCAAACAACAAACTTCAATTATCTCCTTCTTCACCCAGATAAACTTATCATACTAGATACGCTCTAAAATATAATTTTAGAGCGTAATATTCCCTAAGGCCCTGACCAGAGCACTATTTTTTTTCTTCAAAAACTATAACCTTAGAAGGTCTTAGAAGGTGTATTATTATTGGAAGGATGTTATAAACAAAACTTCAAACTTAATAACATTTTACCCTTCAAAAACACCTCAACTATCCTATGCCTGTTACGTACAATACATAGGCCTACATCAGCTTTTCAATAAAACAAAAATAAGTTGTGATATAATAATCTTTCTCCAAAATATCGAACTGGAGTATTCTATTGTATTGCTTGTTTATGTACATACAAAGAGCTTATTTTCAAGAGGCACTATAGATCCATGTGTGTAACTTAAAAAAGAACTCTTTGTTTACCCGAATTTGTTCAGGTGTCTATGGAAAATTGTTATTAAAAGATGCATGGGTTCATAATTTCTCTCGTAATTTAGGTTAATAATTTTGTTCAAGGTAAATAGAGGAAAATGTATATCATTACCTTCATTTGCTATCAAAAGATTTTGCTCCTTTCGAAAAAATAGCTCTTCAAATGTATTACAAGTCATGTAGAGATATAAATAAACAAAGTAATGGATGAAATCAATAAAACGAAATAGATATTGAGTATGAATCAGGAAACAAAGTGAAAGTTTCGTCTCCTACATACTGCCATTTGGACAAAACCATCTTTCTCCTCAGTGATACAATACTTTATGACTTTACTTGCATTATGAAGAAAAAAACGCATCATTGTTGTTTTTATTTCCGTATAATAAAATCAGATACAAATACATATAAAATAATCATACAGAGAAAAAGGGACCATATACGGCTGGTAGCCCATATTCAGCTGCAACTATAATTGTTGCTGCTGGTCTTCCATGGGGCCAGTTTACAATATGCAAAATATACATAATATTACAAATTAAAAAAATAAATAATTACAAAGTATCAGTCGAAAACATAATACAAATACTTAAAGGAAAAGAAGAAAAGAAAAAAAAGAAGAAAAAAAAAACCTTCCCTATCCCCCGGGATCGACACCCATTGCTAGTTTTCAGCTGTCTCATATCTCTTGTGTACATATTTGCGATTGATATCAACTCTTTGTAAGACAGGTGCCTGGGCTATATTTTCGACCCTTCTCGCTGTCACCGTGGAACTACTAATTATTAGGTCCATGCTCTCACCTTTAGTCAAACAAAATTTAGACTTTGAGCTTCTTAATATGATAAAATCCTACCTCATGTATGAGCTCCGAGCTTAACCTTATTTGTCCAGATTGTATTTGCTATCAAAGAGATGGTTCGATTCTGGCAAAAATGACGTAAATAATTTTTTATGAACAAAAATCATGCAGACTCATTCGTTATATTCAGGGAGAATAGTATGAATACTGATGAGGCTACCCCGGGTAAACAAGACATATTATCTTTATTATCGTTATTATTATATTATTATGGAAGAGCCAATATCATGCAACCAATATTACACCGTTGTCCGTAAAGTTGGAATGATTTTTCTTTACCTCAGTCATCCTGAAGTGATTGTGACGTCATCGTTGATACATAACGTTAATATCATCTCGGAGCTTTATTGATTAATCTAGGTCAGGGGTCATGTAGATGGATCAAATACGTTTATATCTTCTCAATCTTCTTAACTGCTCAATTTTTCTTAATCGCTATTTATTTTTCAGTATACATTTCTGAAAAGATATGAACTTTGTCTATGTATCAAGAATAAATCACATTTTCACAATCATGTTACAAAGGCAGCTAATAAAAAATGATTCCAACTTTATGGGCAACAGCAGTATAATAAATTTACAAAATTTGATAAAAAATCTACACGCTGGACACAGAAGTTGATACAGTTGACTATATCTGTATCACTATGCAAACATGTTTTATCAGAATTCGGTACAAAGTTTGTCAACATTGAATGGTAACAACCCTTGTCAATGAGGCCCCGGCCCCGGTGTTACCAAAATGTCAGGTAAAGGGGTACTTTTCACGCACCAAAGTCCGGCTCGTAGTACACAAAAATCCGGCCCGTATTGACTTTACACACCGGACTTAGGGGGTGCTTTCGAAAGGAGGGAACAAGCATTATGCGTACCCTAAATAACACTGAGTGGGGGGGGGGGGGGGGGGAATAAGGCTCATTCGTCATAGCCAAAAAGGGGGGAAAAGGAGAAGGAAGTTAAACAGAATGGTGACATTTGAAGGGAATTGAACCAACATAATTGTATTTTCCTGTGGTACAACGTATAGCAGGAAAGTGTTGTAAATGCGGATCCTTGTAATGATTACGTAATATCGGAGTATCCCGCGAAGCAGGAACTAATTAGGTAGGTGAATGTTATTGTATTGAGAGGGAAAGGAATTCATGTTCAGAAAGGCATAATAAGAGAGGGAAATGGGCAAATTCTAGCTTTGTCAGATCCACGTCACAAATTTCAATTGAAATTTTTGATAAAGAACAATAGTTTGGTGTTTTGTTGATTGTATATAGATTCAAATAGATTATATTTATTGGGACGATTTGCCATTTGGGTTTTCCAGAGCAATTTTGCCTTAGTTAGTTTATCTCTGTTTTGTTCAACCTATAAGCGGGGGGGGGGGTGGAGGGAGGCAAACACCCACCATATAGGTCAGGGATTAAAGCGGATCAATTTATTTGATGTTCAAAACATTTATTATATGGTTTTATGTAACAAGATTATTCAAGAGGATACATTTTGAATAAAAACGGACTTGGTCGGTCTGGCAGGTCGGTCTGGCAGGCTTCCCCATTAATATTGATATTGATTTCATCTGTGAGTCATTAACAAAGTATTATGTTTAATCTCAGTTTTATTCATTTATTTATGCATGATTTATTTAATAAAAAACAGATTTATAATCCGTGTGTTTATTATAACTTTTGGTTGGTAATTTTTAGTCAGACAATGGGTGCGCTTAGAAACACCCGTATTTAGCGCCTAATAATTGTGTATTATTATTCCTGTATTGAATGAGTAATGAAGGATAAGACTATACGTAATAATGAATATCACTAGTATATTTGTATATCCAATTACGAACCGTCAGAATTATGAAACTTCAGAAAAACGAGTGCACTCGTATTTTGCACCGTATTTTAGAACTGACCTCTTCCTTCATAATATACACACTCGTAAGAGAAGTGTATTTGCAAAGGACGGCTATCACTCGGAACAAACAACGATTAAGGGCAGTGGTGTAGCGATAGGGGGCACAGGGGGCTTTGACCCCATTCCGCCCCCATTCCCCACCCCACCCGTAATAAATATAACCATGTAGGCCTATAACAATTCAATTCAATTTTCGGCAAAGAAGACGGTAAGACGGGTGCCCCCCCCCCCCCCCACACGGTAGTTCCAGCCGGGCCCCCTTTAATGGATTAACTCACAAAGTACGCCACTGGTCAACACAATTTTATAACAGGAAAATGACGAAGCAGAAATCAAGGGTCTGTGATTTCAGTCGACATTATATTGTCACTTGTTTAGCGAGAATTGTTTAGTGCGTCGTACGACAAGGAAACGTGTTGAATCAAAATAGGCTTACTCTGTGGATGCAACTGGAATTGGATTGGATTTAAAAGTAAGTTGACATAGAAATTGAAAACTACATAGGTTCAACTTTAAAAACCTTTTAAAGATCTAATTATCAACATCAGCAATTTGTAGTTTGTAGTTCCTTTTGCAGTTCCGGACTTGTTAAAATAATTACTCATTATTCTTAAGTATCCTTTGAGATTTTCACATTTGCATTGCTGTTTCCAATATGTATTTCTACGTTTGTTGTAAATGTTTATAATTGATTTATAATGTTTTGTTGGAAAATTAAATAAATTGAACTGAATTAAAATTCTTGAGATAGTTATGAAGTGCTTTGTAGTATACTGAGACTGCAAGACAAATTAGTTATATAAATACTCTCTTGGAGAGGTTTGAGGCTATATAATGCTTAAGAAGATATTGAAAACAACAATTTTATCTTTAAAAGCCTTTTAAAATCATCGGAACCAATAATGGAGAAACTCTGGAAGCGGATGCAATTATGCCCTGTAAGGGAAACAAAAGCGTTATACCGAATACTTTGTCAATATTTTGTTTTTTGTTTTAAAGGAAAAAAAGCATTCTAGGTCAGGCACGACGATGAACATGTGGATTATCTCGGCATTACTCCTGTCGATCGCGACTTCGGCCGTGGTCGCATCGCCCAGCGGACCCCCAGTCTCCGTCGACGGCCTGTGCGCGAGCATGGTGCCAGGGCACGGCCCTAGCGATGCAGTGGGCGACGCACCCTATAGCGTTACTGCGGTCGAGCAAGATGACAATACTTTTAAAGGTAATTGTTCTCATTTGGAGTTTTTAAATCGATAAGCTTACTATATTCTCAAATGAAAATAATGCTGACAAGACGTGAAATTCGGTTTCACACTTTTTTACTAAAATAATGAGGAAAGATTTTTGTCACACTCCTCAAACTGAGCTCAATCAGCGGAACTTATTAACATATATTATTTGAAAGATGTTTTATCGGCCTATTCCTACTCCTCCTCAGGGCGGCGTTATGGGGGGGGGGGGGGGGAAAGAGAAAGGGCGGGGTGATTGTCCTCCTATCAAACCCCAACCCCCTCAATGCCAGCAAATTTCACCCCTCTCTCTTTCTCTATCTGTCTCTCGCTCTCTGTTTCCGTCTCCGTCTCTCTCTCTCTCTCTCTCTCTCTCTCTTTATTTGGAGGGGATGGGGCTTGTTTGAGTTTTTGTTTATTAGACCCGTGTCCCCTTCTGTGGCACCGTCTCTCCGTCAATTTCTAGGGTACCGCTTCAAGGCTATAAATTCTATGATTATGCCGTCATTGACCTGCATATCCAATTGACCCCTCTATCATCCTATCATTCATAATATTTCTTTGTTTTTAATCCTAGTACGGTTTGAAGGCGTCGGTGCCAATTCGACTTTCCGTGGTTTCTTCTTGCAAGCCCGCCCGTGGGACTCCTCCTCATCCGGCGAATCTGAGACGACTAGTCTCGGCGTCTTCACCTCCTCCGCTGCCGGTACCAAACAACTGGATTGCTTCGGCTCTATGGCGGTGAGGATTACATAAAGAAATGCCCGTTGAACACGATTCTTCATTTTACTCGCGTTAATACTAGCGTCTTTTTTTGCCTAACTACTTACGTCATTTTTTCTTGCGTCAACTTGCGTCATTTTTTGCTTACGTCAACACTTGCATTCCATCGATTGCGTCATTACCGTGAGTCATTTCGCTGACATCAATACCTGTGTCATTACGCTTGTATCAGTACCTGCGCCAATTAAGCACATGAATGCATCAAGCCCATATGCGCCATCAAATCATCACCACTGTTAATTTTGCGTTAATTTCTTGTACGTTGACACCCACTCGTGGTGCGTCAAAGGCCAAGCCAGTCGGTGACGCATAACACTTGCATATATTTGGTTTATTAACCTATACATGTATAGAATCTCCAATCATTCATAAACTATACGTTCTATAATGATCAAGAAATGAATGAATAAAAGCATCACTGGAAATCTGAAATAATGCTAATGTTCAACGAGAAAAATATGGATATACAGGCACAAATTCGCACTGTTAGATGATATAATTGCGAGAACACCACCTTTTTATTAACTTGCTGAGAACTTAATTTTTTCATTTTCTTGAAGCTATATACTATTTAGAATAATCCCATTCGGGGTAGGCCGAATATTAGGAGGATAAAAGTGGCTGCCCTTTCAAGATAAGTTTGAGATCTGGTCATGAATTGGTGAAAAAGAAAATACTTTCTGGAAAGGATTGGGAAAGCTTGATTATGTTTTAAAGCCTGTCTACACTAGTTTGGCCAGGAGGGATTATAGACCTCCCAGCGTCTCATCAAATCAGCTCTTAATAAACATAAGGAAAATGGGATCATGGAGGACCACCGGGTACCACTAAGGCAGTGTTTGCTATATAGAGGGCGCAAGTAGCTACAAGTAGTGCAGTCTCGCTTTAATGTATATAGCGATCCATCCGTATTATTTTAAAATAATTATCATTATTAGTTTATGTTGATATGTATGTACATATGTTTTTTTACAACGAATATAAAACCAAACAGAACTATTCTTAATCGGAACTTCATCCTTTTCTTTAACTCGTTTTCATGGAGAGCAACCATTTTGTTTGCTATACCTCCCTCTAATAAAATTGCTAATCCTTCTAGGTGTAATCTCGTACCAGGGTTTTGGCATCGCAACTTCCCGTTCCGCCCCGTTCCTATCTCTCTGATAGACCTTTATGCAGATCAAGGGTACGCCTATTACAGTTAAACCATGGACCTACATAGAGTGCCATGGTTAAACATGTTAACTTTGATTATGACGTAATATAACACAAAGAGGTAATCAACACAGTTTTTAAGTTTTTTAATGAGTTTTTCTTTCCTTTACGTTAGGAGCGATTAGTTTAGTGTACTAATTAAATTAAGGCACATGTAAGGAGGACGTCGAATTTAGCGAACTCCCTGCATGCGCACTCATCATTATTATTTTTTTTGGGGGGGGGGGAGGGAATCATTTTTGATATTGCTTTTATCTTATCTCGGACTAAAGAAGGCAATCGTTTAATTAAGTAACATAATTTGAAGATGTTCATTCTAAAAATAGTTCTTATTTGAGTATTTAGATTGTTACTTGGAGAGCCATCCATTCCACCCCCACCCCCTATTACAATTATTGTCAAGTTCGACCGCTTTTTAATGCGACCGAGCACGAAATGTTAATGATTAATTATACCTCTTCTCTGTTTTCGGAATCTGATCATTATTGTTACAAAATGACTTCCAACTGGCCGCCTCAGAAATATTCTTCTTCTTCATTGTAGTCCAAAGGTTGTCGTGGTGGGGGTGTGGGGGGGGGGGGGTCTCCCCTACACTCCCTTCAAATACTTGAATGCCCCTCTAAGAGTTTCTTGCTCAATATTCGATCGGAACCGAGTTTAGATTTTAGTGAGTTTTAAAGCCTATTCCTATCGGCTAATTCTAACATATTGAATGCTTGCTGACATTATTGTTCTTGGGGATAACTGTCTGCATTATTTTGGGTCGGGGGGGGGGGGGTGACAATATTTCCTTCTTTCTATCGGGATATGAAAGCAACTTTCTTTTCATTTTTGTTCTTCTTCATAGAATGCTTGGGGACACAGCATCAACACCGATAAATCGGTGGTAGAGGGAACGTGGACTCCACCTGCAGGATCAGGAGAAGTTCGATTCAGGTATGGTATGAGCAGCCTGCACCTAGCAAAACCAAATATCTTTATATAATTTTGGCTTCGATATTTCCATTTTTTAAATAAATATTAATATTATAATATGTATAGCTTGAATCTATATTTTTTATTTTATAAAATATATCGATTTTATTTTCAAATTAATTTGGGGGTTTAGAACTTCATATCTTTAGATCACTTTAGTGAGTGAGAGAGAGAGAGAGAGAGAGAGAGAGGAGGAGACATTTTTTAAGCGGATCTAATTTTATTATTCAATGGTGAAGCGGAGGGTGTGGTGCGGGGGGGGGGGGGTTGAGGGGGGGGGGGGGGCAATGGTAACACTCGATCAGCGCTTCTCCCGTTATCACTGATTGTACACCAGGGTTTCTCTTAATCTTTTTTTTCTAAATAAGAGCCGTGGGTTCTTAACGTGTAGGGCATCCCAGACAGTCAACCGACATCCCACAAGACCGAGACCGATTGCCCACGAGACCGACAAAACAAAGAATTCATAGAAAATATATTTTTATTAAAGACGATGAAAGTCCCAAAAGGTCGACATGACTGACGGCCTATAAGACCGCCATCCGTATGAGACAAAACGCCCCCCCCCCCAAAAAAAAAAACAAAAAAAAAAACCGAAAACCGAAAAAACGAGAAAAAGGGGGGGGAGGAAATTTAAAAAAAAAACTTAAAAAAAACATAAAAAAACAAGTGAATCCATTATGAATATTAAAAAAAAAAAAAATACATCGGTCTCGCAGGCTCATCGTTCTTGTGGCCGTCGGTTTAGTGGACATTCTAAAACTAGCTAGATGACCGACGAGACAATGTCGGCCTAGAAGGCCGTCGCCGTCTCGTAGCTATCGGTCTGTAGCCCTTTATGGTTGATGACTCTCCTGCACATGGACATTTTTTAATGATGATGATTGTTTTACCTGACTGCTAAGAAAGTATGTATACTAGCCTATATGCTTGTATAAGTAAACAACCAGGGGACCGACGGCCTCTTTATGATGATGATTGTTTTACCTGACTACTAAGAAAGTATGTATACTAGCCTATATGCTTGTATAAGTAAACAAACAGGGGACCGACGGCCTCTTTATGATGATGATAGTTTTACCTGACTGCTAAGAAAGAATGTATACTAGCCTATATGCTTGTATAAGTAAACAACTAGGGGACCGACGGCTTTAAATCCTTTCCAAGGTCATGAGGATAAATGACTTACCAAAGGGCACGAGAGCATTGGCTTGATTTGGAACCCGGGAACTCCTGGTTACCAGACCACTGCTCTATCACTGAGCCACCGCGCATCCGGATATCGGAGGGATAATTCACTATCAATTGTGTTTATCTTGTTGCTTCTCTTGTTGTTTATTGTTGTTTATATTGTTGTTTATCTTGTTGTATATAGGGTGAGTGTTGTCCAAGGTCCTGCAAGCACCTACTGGACTGGGCTCTACTCTGACGTCGTCATGTATGAGTCATCGGCAGGTATATACAAAATTACAGGCTTATAGATCATGATGACGACGACGATGATGATGGTGATGGTGGTGGTGATGGTGATGGTAATGGTGTTGAAGGTGATGATGCATGGTGACGAGTATGATTGTGATGATGAATTTGATGATGCTGATGCTGATGGTAGAACGGTTATGAGTATGATGGTGTTGACGGTTGACGACGATGATGATGATGATGATAATGGTGGTGATGATAGTGATGATGATGATGATGATGGTGAAGAAGATGCTGATGCATGGTGATGATGATGATGATGATGATGATAATGGTGATGAGTATGATGGTGTTGACGATAATGATGATGATGGTGATGATAACGATAATGTTGGTGGTAGTGATGATATACTGATATGATGATTCTTCACTATTATAAGTACTCCTTTACTCTTGTTTCTATCTTTCAGCCATGTTTTCACCCTTGTCTATTGATCCCTAATTATTACATTAATTTGATATTTCGTTATCTCTCTCTCTCTCTCTCTCTCTCTTTCTCCCTCCCTCTCACTCTTTTTTTCTGATTTAGGAAAAGCAAGTCTAAGCTTAGCTACTCTCTTGGGAGCGCTCGCCATGGTCTTCTTCACAAGTAACCGGATGTAGACCCCCCCCCCCCCCTACCACACACCACCCCTGTACCCTTTCGAGAAAGCTTAGCTCGATCCTAAAGCCAAATTTATAGCATTTTTATGTAGAAGTCCGTTTATACATTCGACAAGTTTATAACAATCAATGTCTGAAGAAAAAAGTTTTTTTTTTTTAAACCTGGGCAGCGTTCCACGAAATTGACATAAGAACAGGTTTACCGACAACCCGCTAAAGTGCGTGCATTAAAATTAATTTAACACGCGCTCCGATGGGGTGTCGGTGAAGTTGTACTTATGACGGTTTCGTGAAACGGTGCCCTAATAATAATAATAATAATAATAATAATAATAATAAATGAATAAATGAATAATAAATATAATTATATTACATAGCAAGATGTGTTTGTTATGCTTTTCTTTATAGCCTAATTATATTACATAGCAAAATGTGTTTGTTATGCTTTTCTTTATAGCCTGGGAACGGAGGAAGGGGGGAATTATTGCACAAGAAATTCCTGTAATGTGCTTATTTTTTGGAGGGGTTAATCTAAAATACTTTACAAATGAGAGTGATGTAGAGAGGGTAAGAGAAAGACAGAGAGAGAGAGAGAGAGAGAGAGAGAGGGGGAGAGAGAGAGAGCTAGAGAGAGAAAGAGAGATAAAGACAGAGAGAGGAAGAGAGCGAGAGAGAGAGAGAGAGAGAGAGAGAGAGAGAGAGAAAGAGAGAAAGAGAGATTTGAAATTATTGCAAACATCATACATTTATTAAACCTCTGAAATTCATTAGATAGACTATGTACATTTCTTCCAAAATTGATAATAATGGTGGTGGTGCCTGATCGGATGATGATGATGATAATAGTGATAATAATAATAATAATCATTTATAATAATGATAAAAATACGGCTATCGCTACTACTAATAATACTTCTACTACTACTTCTACTACTATATTTTACTACTACTTCTACTACTACTAACACTTCTACTACTACATTTACAGGAGAAATATATCTCGTCTCCTTCTTTTTTCTCCCTTCTTTCATTTTGATCTATATTTCAACCTTTCAATTAAAAGAAATTCTTTCGTTCTTTTTTTTGTCCACCATCATAAAAGTAATATTTAAAGGGATAAAAATTCATTTTAAAACAGAAGAGATGAACGGTAAAGCCCCTCTGAAGTGTTGGGAGCTCCAAACATTTAGCAAAACTTTACTTAAATTTTATCATACTTCGAAAATGAAAATGAAAACAAATGTGTGTAAAGTTGATATTGATGAAAGAATACAAAATGTAGGTTTTCTGGGTATACAACAGAAAATCCAAATAATGTAATGTGAAAGACATATTGATAAAATAAAACATTATTTAGATTTTCTGTTGTATACCCAGAAAACCTCCATTTTCGGAGTAACACCCACCATCCAAATAATAATGTATTATTTTATCAATATGTCTTCAAACACATTTTTGGGGGGAAATCTTTGCAGGACGGTGCAGTGGCGTAGACAGGTTCGTACACCTGGGGGGGATGACTCAGGGGCGGATCTAGCTTTTTGCTAAGGGGGGGGGTTGACCAATAATGACGATGCGGAGCATCGTCCACGAGCCGCGAAGCGGCGAGCCGATTTTTTTGGGGGGTGTTTATTTGAACCCCGTAAGTGATGTTTTCCTGGCATCTATTAACACAATGGAGACTATAAAAAGCAGTGCATGATAACGTCTTTTTAAATCAAGTAACAGTTAAATACACAGTTATATCCAGAGTTATCATGTGTTTGGTTAAGTTACCAGATGAGTTGAATATCTTCTCACAATATTTGCACTTGAAAGGGTTTCTCTCCAGCGTGCGTTCTTTTTTCTTTCTTTTTTTCTTTTTTTTCTTTCTTTTTTTTCCCCTTTTTTTTTTGTTTGTTTTTTGGGCCGCCCAAGGGGGGGGGGGGTTAAACCCCCTAACCCCCCGTAGATCCGCGCCTGTTTTATCTTGTGGTTTCTAAACCACAAGATAACCACAAAATACTTGTAAGATTTTCTTTTTTTTACCGTCTGAATTGGCTTTCACCGTGTGAATGCGGCCAATAACAATAAACACAATAACAATAATGATGAGGATTATTATTATCATCATCATAATTATTATTATTATTAATATTATAATTGTTATCATTATTATTATTACTATTATTATCATCATTATGACTTATTAAGTAAGCAAATATCATTCCCCAAAACCTGGGGGGGGGGATGATTGTACATGCCATCCCCCCCCCCCACCTTGGGAGGTGGGGGGGATGCATCCCCCATCCCCCCCCCCCCCCCCCCCCCCCCCCCCCCCCCCCCCCCCCCCCCCCGTTGTCTACGCCCCTGGGACGGTGACACCCTCTTCCAAATTCGTTAACAAATTTGGGGCTTCAACACTTTAGAGGGGCTTTGACATCATCTTCACGGTAGATGGCGCTCTTTGTAAAACACCGAGAAAAATCAAAGTGCGTTCAACTTGTATAAATGGCGCTGGTATTGTGTACATGAAATTTTAGTGAGAGAGCGAAGAACTACCGATTATTTTCTCATGAAGCCGGCCAGGATGGCGGGTGTTACTCCGAAAAGGAAAGAGATCTACAAATATGAAGCCCCTTGGACATTATATAGTATGAACTGGGGAGTTAGACCGGACAAGCGGTTCAGATTAGCAGTCGGAAGTTTCGTTGAAGAATATAATAACAAGGCAAGTGGAAATCTTATTCACCCTTTCTCATACAAAGCAATGTTACGCCAATGCAATTCGATGACTTTTTTTTTTTATGACTGACGATGAGCTAGCGCATAGCTCTAGATCTAGTGAAAAGTGTGATGAATTGAATGAAATGATGGGAGGAAAAAAAAGGGGGGGGGATGGGGTAACGTGGAAATTTGTTTGGAAGAGAAAAAGAGCTAGGCCTAATTGTTGTCTAGATGACGAGAGGCGGCTGCAGGCTGCGCTGAGCCTGAGTGAGAGTGAGAGAGTTTTGTATTTTTTCCATTTTGCTCAAACCAGCATGACAAGCTGCTGTACAAATGCAGGGGTGTCAAACTCAACATTGTCCAATTATTACGAAAGGGGGTGTAGCATGGTAAATACTGGTTATGCCATCTACAACTTCTTTTGGTCGACAGCTGCACATTAAGGAATGAACCTGATTAATGGTCCGCGCGTGCTAGCATTCGCGGAACGGATGGAAATTCTCCTCACGCTTCGGTTTAGCGTATCTTGCATGCACCTGAATACTGCGATTGCGTCGTTCGTAGTCGTAATATACCCGATTGGCCCAGAGTCGGGCCACGGGAAAGACACTTATAGTCTCGTCATGCTAAACCCCCTTTAATCTAAGAATGAATGAGAGACTGATTCTGAGACTGAGTCCTCTGCTCTAGAAAATTATCATCAACGGAAATGATATTAAACAGCTATTGGCTTTTTTTAAAAAATCTCATTAACTTCTTTTATCTCATTATTAGATTTACTAGTTATAAAAGAAGAACATATCAACACACCTACACGTATAAGTACGTACTGACTTAAGAATTAAATCCATTCGCAAATGGAAAAAAAGAAAACCAATAGACCTCTAGGCACGACGAGAAGAAAAGTGAAAATGAAATAAAAATCATTCAAACTCACTGCTTATAGATCTTTGAACATGTCGATAGCACGGTTTGTATTTCATGTTTCAAACTCACTGGGAAGAGATCTTCGAAGTTTTCGAAGTTCGAACATGGCGATAGCACAGTTTGTATTGGATTTAAATCGCCCAATGCCTGTTTTGTTCAGTTGATATGTGATTACTCACTAAACAATGTAAATTTGAGTGTTTCTTTTTTCTTTGTGCAGCTCCAGATTAATTTCAGACCAAAGCCTATTTACATGAGTCATGACTGAGTGGCCCATTTGTCTGTTGTGATCAGTCATCTTTTTCTTACTTATTAGAGTCTACCGTAGATTATTTTGTTTGCAAAATTTCACTTGGATGTTTTTTAAAGGTCTTTGATCTGTTTTTGTTAAGACTGTAGGGGGAAACCCCGGTGTAGACTGTAGAGGTCCACCTGCACACCTCAGTATAGTACGACAATACTCTATAAAGAGGAATGTACTCAAATGGAAGAAGAAAAAATGATTTTGTGGTGTTTGTTTTTTGTTTTTGTTTCGCAGGTTCAAATTGTAGCACTGAACGAGGAGACGTCAGAGTTTGAAGCAAAGAGTACGTTTGATCATCCTTACCCTACCACAAAGATCATGTGGATACCAGACAATGTAAGCATTATTCTCTGTCAAGATTTAGATACCGATAGTAGTCCGATGGTCGTCGGCCTGACTCTCATGACTTCCGTCATGCAAGTGGATTTGAGCCTTGCACAGAGCAGACTAAATATAAAAATGCTTGTCGCCGCGTTGTAACTATAAGTATAAGCGCACCCCTTCCCTCTGTTTTCGATGCAGGCTCGAATTTAAGGGTAAACCGCTCTAGTCCTCGAACAGAACATTACCTGGAGGCCCCTCGTGTAGGATAGTCACACCCCACGTTAATATTCTACACTTATCGCAAAGAGTAGGGTGTAAACCCTGTGTTTACTGTACCTGCATACACAACTGGTAAATTTCCTATACAAATGACCCCCAAATATCCACAGATCATTAACACATGGAGACATCCCACTTTGTGAATTTTATAATAATCATGGCCAAAAATTGATGGAAGTGCTTCATGAATACCTTTTGTTTTCCCTCTTGAAATAAATATTGAAATAATTACTTGCACCTGAGTATCATAGAATTTACTGCCAGTGCTTAATCGAGTGGTGATAACATAACTTTCATGATCAGTCATAAACATGCCTTTTTTAATTCCATAATAAATAATATTCAGTTTTTATATAGCGCTTAATACATCTCCGACGTCTCTAAGTGCTTTACAGATACTATTACCTCAGTCATTGGATTCAGTGCTTACCCGCTCACAATGTGTGCACAATCTCCACTCCTTGGGGAGTATTCCAACCAGGCATTACTTGACGCTCAAAAACTGTTTGACCAACAATGACGGTCGCATCCTACTGGGTACCCATTTTAACACCTGGGTGGAGAGTACCAAGTGTAGGTTAATATATTACCAAAGGATATTACTCTTACCATAACTCACGTTTCTCTCTCAAGACAATTGCTAATTATTTCACTGGTTTTGTTCTTTTCCTCATGAACACCCTTCTTATTGAAGGGTGTGTTTCCGGATCTCTTAGCAACCAGTGGAGATTATCTGAGAGTTTGGCGCGTCGGTGATACGGATACAAGATTGGAATGTCTTCTGAACAATGTAAGTAATAGTGCATTTTCCTATGTTGATATCGGGAGGGGGGGGGGAGGGTTTGGTTAATGAAATACAAAAAAACATGCATGACTGAAATTCTTTTGTCATTTGGTGTTGTTGTAGACCATATTTGTTGATGCTTAATATCTTTTCATGCCTCAAATTAAGAGAAAAAGTCTAAAGGTAAGGGCCAAAACATGCGAGTTGCCGTTTTGGATTATAATGACAATTTAATAAAAAAGGCTTCAATTTAACCAGTTTTCGGCAATGAAATATAAAAATACAAACATGCATACCTGGTATTATTTTGTTGTATGTAGTTTTGAAAGTGTGAAACCAAATTTCATGTCTGTTTTGCATTATTTTCATTTGCAAAACAGTCGAGATGAAATTCACTACCCTGTTTACACGTTATCAAAGCTCATATTTACATTATTTTAGCTAAATAATAGTAAAAATACCTCTCACTCAGGCACATACCAAATAATGAACAAAGATTTGTTCATTTTGGAAAGAAATACTGTTTAGTGTGGAGCACTGCTTTCATGCTTTTTATGATCTCTTTTGTTGCAGAACAAGAACTCTGATTTCTGTGCCCCTCTGACCTCCTTTGATTGGAATGAGGTTGACCCTAACCTCCTAGGGACGTCCAGCATCGATACGACGTGTACTATCTGGGGCTTGGAGACGGGACAGGTCGTTGGCAGAGTTAATATGGTGACGGGACACGTGAAAACACAGCTCATTGCGCACGATAAAGAGGTATGGATGAAGGAGGAAGGAGGAAGGGAAGTGGGGGGGGGGGGGAGGGAGAAGAGAGTAGAATGGAATGGGGAGTTTAGATTTGGGGCAGATCGTAGGCAGAGTTAATATGGTGACCGGACACGTGAAAACACAGCTCATTGCGCATGATAAAGACAGAGATGCCAACTGTTCCGTTTTTGCCGTATTTGTTCCGTTTTTTCGCTATGAATACGGCAGTACGTTTTTTGTATGTTTTGTTACATTTTTAATTTTTTTTTAATTTTTTTTTTTTTTTTAGTGATGTTTTTCTTAATTTCTGATCATGGGCTTTGTGTCGTAAGTGTATTATGCACCTACATCTTAAAATGATGCACGCAGGATGGTGATACGGGCCCCAAACTGCGCACATTGCAAACAACCCATGTGTAATGTATATACGTCGCGCTCCGATCCGGGTACGTATACGTGGTACTGCCTGGTTTTTTAAGTTGCTCGATTGGGCGATATGTTAAGTTGAGAGATTTTTTTCAAAAATACTGTTTTTTGCTCTTAAGAATACTTTTTTTTGTTGAAGAAGGTTGGCATCTCTATAAAGAGGTATGGATGAGGGAGGAGGGAGGGAGGAGGGAGGGGGGAGGGGGGGGGGGAAGAGAGTAGAATAGAAGGGAGAGAAGTTTGGAGATTGGAGATCGGGCAGATCATAGGCCCCAAATTAATATGGTGGCGGGACATGTGAAAATGCAGCTCGTCACACATGATAAAGAGGTATGGATGAGAAAGGGAGCAAATCGAGATGATAAGAGAAAGAGAGAGAGAGAGAGAGAGATAAAGAGAGATACGAAGGAAGGGGAAAGAAAGGGTAAAAAGGAAAAGGAGCGAAGAGGGTGGCAGGTAGGGTTAGGAGGGAGGGACAGATGGATGGGGATCGGATTGGGAGCAGAGAGTTTATTAAGAGATGAGGGGGTAGGGGTAGAGTAATGTTTATGAAAAGAGCAAAGTAGAACTGAAGATCATTTTTTTCCCAGAGTGCATATGAAGTGGTACTCCAACTGAGTGCTATGCCATCTCCTGTCCGGTGACTCGTCTACTACATGTAATTCAGGGTGTTCCTCAGTAATGTTTGTGTGCACCTTAGCTATTCAGGGCCGGCTGATCGTGTGTATTTACTATGCTGAATACCAGGAACTCCATGCATTACCACAAGACATCTAATGCCCAATATGCAACATGTCTTGTTCTGCTACCTTTCCCCAGGTTTACGACATTGCATTCAGTCGAGCGGGCGGAGGGCGTGACATGTTCGCGTCCGTCGGGGCAGACGGGTCGGTCAGGATGTTTGACCTTCGACATCTGGAGCACTCGACGATCATCTACGAAGACCCGCAGCATCATCCTCTCCTGCGCCTTGCCTGGAACAAACAGGACCCTAACTACCTTGCTACCATGGCCATGGACTCTTTTGAGGTATGTCCCTTGGATAGGATGATGATGATGAAGGTTTCTTGGGTCTTATAAGTTTATGTAACAAAATGTTAACAAAAGTTTAAAGATATATATATAGAAGTAAAGATTGGAATAGAAGTTGGAAGGAAAAATTACAGAATGTACAAATAGTCATTGTCCAAACTTCCTTGCTCCAATAGCTAAGGACTCCTTTGAGGTACATGTTTAGATTGGGATGTAGAAATGTAATGATGAGGATAGAACTTTTTTCATTTGTAAATGCATACTGTAAGTATGCCAGACTCAGACATGTTAAATCAGATTAAGTAGATGAAAAGTGTCAAATAAAATTGGATGATTATGAAGAGTTTTATGAGGATGGTTGTACTACTGGTTTGAACTTCTCATATCACACCCAAAAGAAAAAATGACCTGTAACAGTTTCGATGTCAAGAGCTCAGCTCAGACATCTTTCATACAGTGTAGATGCCAATTGGCAGACTGAAGTGAGCAGCCAATTTTCTAATCGCCAATAGTTGTTGTTTTGGCAGCTTACTTCAGTCTGCCAATTCGTGTCTGATAAAAGATGAATGAACTCGAGACATCGAAACTGATACATGTAATTTCTCCTTTTAGATGTGATATCAGAACTTTCAAAACCAGAAATTTATGATTTGTATAATAAGACAAAAAAGAAATACACCCAGAAATAGACAAAACGATCAGAAATGTAACAAATGAAATAATTTTGTTTAATCGTAGGTCATCATCTTGGATGTAAGGGTGCCGTGCACACCGGTCGCTAGACTCAACAACCATAGAGCATGTGTGAACGGCATTGCCTGGGCGCCTCATTCATCTTGCCACATATGCACAGCTGGTGAGTTAAACCACAACAAATAAAAAAGAGGAAAAGAAACTCAGTTCTTTCTAGAACTACACGCTTCACTCTTTAACTTTTGTGATGTGCTGAGCACCTTCATTTTTAGGATGAGCCACAAATGATGTGTGTTTCAAACTTGATTCAGTTATCATATGTTCCATTTTCTTTCTCTTTCCTATACTTTACTTTTTATTTGATTTCTCTAAAAGCAACACGAGTGGGTTCTTTTGACATATCAACAGCCTCATTAAGTAAGGCTACCAAATGGTGTAACCGAAAAACTCACCGTGGTAACTTACAGAGAATATTAAAGGGATTAAAGGTATGGCTTGGAGACGGGCCTGTCAAAATACATATATTTATACAAGAAATATCACTTCAATTCTTTGTTTTTGTCTTTATAATAATAATAATAATAATAAAAACGTTACTTATAAAGCGCTTACCACCGAAATCTCTAAGCGCTATAACACACAAAATAGACTGATATACAATTACATATCAAACAAAACTAGAAAGTGCAAATAAACCTACAAATTACAATACATATAGAATACACATCAAAGTGAACAAAGTTAATTATTTATTGAACACAATTTTGAATAAATGTGTCTTTGCAGCCGACGACCACCAAGCATTGATCTGGGACATCCAGCAAATGCCCCGGGCCATCGAGGATCCCATCTTGGCGTACACGGCGGAGGGGGAGATCAACCAGATCCAGTGGGCCTCCACGCAGCCGGACTGGATAGCCATCTGCTATAACAACTGCTTGGAGATTCTTAGGGTATAGGTAGAGGCAAGGTAGGGGTAGGGCAGACAGACAGACTGATAGGGGGACGGACAGACTGACAGAGATTGACTTGACAGAGAGAGAGAGAGGGAGGGAGGGAGGGAGAGAGAGAGAGAGGGGGAGGAGGGGATGGGGGGGGGGGGGTGAGCTGGTGAGAGAGAGAGAGAGAAGGAGGGGATGGGGAAGGGGAGCTGGTGAGAGAGAGAGACACACACAGACAGGCTGACAGAGACATAGATTGAATTGACAGAGAGAGAGAAAGAGAGAAAGAAAGAGAGAGAGAGATAAAGATTAAGATAGAGATAGAGAGAGAGAGAGAGAGAGAAAGAGGGAGAGAAGGAGGGGATTGGGGGGGGGGGGCTGGTGTGAGAGAGAGAAGCACAGACAGGCTGACAGAGTTAAGATTGAATTGAAAGAGAGAGAGAGAGAGATAGAGAAACAGGGGGATGTGTGTGTGTGTGTGTGAGAGAGACAGATGGACTGACAGACACCTAACGACAACTGACCAAGAAAAGTATTGTCATTGTTAAGCCTCTACCTTGCTGTCGTATCAAATAATCCTTAAAGTAATTTAATTAAATGTAGATCATCGGTAAAATGTATTTGATATCCTCTGTTCCGAGCAAGAAAGGTGGTTAAACTGTGCGTTGATTTATATCACTTAAAGATAAAGTTGAGTTCTGGTCATGCGATTGCATTCTGAAAGAAACGGTTTGGAATCGATCAGAAAAAGTTGATCACGTAGCATATTATACAGTAAGTATTGGTGTGTACTGCAAGGTTCTAGAATCATCTGATCAAAATGATAAGAAATTTGGCCCAGTCTTGGTAAAAGTAACAAGCACTGTACACAGAAAGATGCATATGGGACTACACAAACATCATTAAAAATATGGTCCTCAATTTTAAGCTGTTACATGTCATATTTAGCATATAAGGCATTTGAAGAGCCATGCTTCCACACTTGCCAGTTCTTCCACACTTGCATGATAACAATGAAAATGCTCACAAATTATTTGTCACCTCTTCCCAGAACTCCACCTTCTCTTCAAACCTTTTCTAGCTCCGATCAGGCGATTGAAGCTCCTTTGTAATGTAGCGCAACTAAAAATGTTCATAAGAGTTTTTCCCGTATAAAAGCATGCATCTTTCATCATTGGAATGAATCGCAAGTCATGGGTACTTACACACTAACCCATTGCAGTTTAAAGTATTCTTAAGCTCTGAATAAATCACCATTTTTTCCTCAAATTAGCAATAGTATTTCCTATTTTCCATAGATATAACATGTTATCGAGGAGCGCGTGAACGAGAGCAGAACAGTATCAAGACGGTTAGAGCGGACGAGTAAGGATGGACGGACAGACAGACACCAAAAGACAACCGACCAAGAAATGTATTGACATTGCTATGCCTCTACCTTGCTACAGTATTGTATAATCCTCAATGAAATTCAAATGTAGCCCTCTTATTATAATAGATTTCATATTGCCTATTCAGAAGGAGATTAACTGTGTGATGAAGTATTTGACTTCAATCCTTGCTTCGATCAGATGATATAAGCTCTTTTATGTAGCGCAACTGATGCCGTTCAGAAGAGTTTTCCCGTAAGCATGGACGTTAAATTATTGGGAATTATTCAGGAATCAGTCATGGGCCTATACACATTAACTTATTGTAGTAAACTGTATTCTTAAGGTCTAAATAAATCACTATTTTCTTCTTAAATTGGCAATGAATTTATTTCTGTATCCCTACACAGTTCAAAACGTAGCAACGTTTATAACATGAACCAATGTGCATCAAAATGAGTAAACTCTACAAACAAATGTCCAATTTGTACTAAAAAATAGTGATCATAATTTTCACACCGCATTGCCAATTTAGAGACTGTAATGATTATGTAAATGTACAAGGAATCGTTCTTATTCATGAATGGTTCAATTTACTGCATTGGAAATGGAGTCCAAATTCTTTGTGATTTGTTCTCTTCCTGCCCGTATATGATGTTTAATTCCTAGAATTCTGGTTCATAAGATATTTTAAAATGACATTAAGAGGAGACATTAAACTGCTGTAGGTTAATTCAGGGACATGCTGTAGATTCCAGTCCTTGTCTAGTAGGTCCATGGTTAATTTGCTCTCCTGTGCTAAAGCAAGAAATCTTACCTAACTTGGTTTCTATAACCGGGCACTCGTGGTCACCCTCACAGGTTTTTAAATGTTGCCTCTATGGCAAGGCATTGATCTATATTTGCCACACTCCACCCAGGTGAGGTAAAGGGGGACCTGGCAGGAATTAATTCCTTAAAGCTGGACTGCACTACTTGTAGCTACTTGTGCCCTCTACTAGTATATAGCAAACAATGCCGAAGCGGTACCCGTTGATCGCCCATGGTCCCCTTTTTCTTATGTTAATTGAGAGCTGAATTGATGAGATAACCACCTGCCAGTGACCAGGAAGGGAAGGCTAAACCCTCCTGGCCAAACTAGTGCAGATAGGCTTTAAAATACTTGAAATGCTATTAATGGCAGCCGTGCTAACGCCGGGGTAATAATAATGGATCGAAACCAAAAAAAAATGGAGCCAAACTTGAGTGCTATACAAGACTCCACTGCTATTATTATTAACAAATCCATTCCTTTTTAAATGCCATTCCCGCTCTACCAAACTTAATAATCTAAAGAAATACCAGTAGATAATATGGCCACCTAACCACGCTGCCGCGGTGTCCCATAATTGATTTTGACCCAAGTTGCAAATCGGCCTATCTGTTGCATCGAATACGTGGGGCACCATATTGGGATACCCAAGACTTATTTGCTTTGTACATATTCCAGAATGACTCGAATGCAGGAATATTCAGGTCTTTGCCAAAACAGTGTAATATATTTGTAGAATCTTGGCTTAGAAGCCGATAAGATTATCATGATGATAATCATGATGATGATGATGATGATGATGATAATCATTAAACTATGTTCTGTACAGTGCGTATCACACGAATCTATTCCTATGATATGCTATTTTATATTAATCATATAACTTATGATGCGTGTAAAGATGTTTTTTAAAAGAAATACAGTCAAACCTGTCTATAAAGGCCACCCAGGGGTTACACGAAACTAGGCGTTGTGGCGTGTGCCTGTAATCTAGCTAACAGTGGAAGTTACAAACTGATTCAGCCGAGGACGCAGGTTCGAAATTGAGTCGCGTCTTTCGGACGGTGACGTTTAAAGGTCGGTCCCCTGACGTAAATAATCATATCTGATTGATACACGTCTGTAAAAACCCAATACACACACACACCAAAAAATAAAAAAATTGGCCACTACAGGCAGATGGCCTTTCCAAACAGGTTCTATAACAAACACTCCAAAAGGGAAGCAATGTAGGTGACCAATATAGACAGGTGGTCTTTATATAGAGGTGGCCACTAATATAAGTCTGGCTGTATTGCTGTTTCAATTGAATTTACATGTACATTCTTGATACTCTTGTTTTATAGTCTCGTTCCCATTTGACGCGGTAAAAAAAGAAAAAGAAAATGCAAATAATATTTCAAATTTTTGCCACAATATATTCCCATGATTTACAAAGTACACAGGATAAACTGCTTGTAAAGTCTAAGGAGTTTTTTCCTCTACCATAGCGCAGTAAAGTATACTTCTATATTAGCTGGGCTATATACATCAAGCTTAAATCCCCACTGTACTACTTGTAGCTACTTGCTCCCTCTATATAGAAAACAATGCCTAAGTGGTGCCCGTTGGTCCCCCATGATCCTCTTTTTTTTAATGTTAATTGAGAGCAGAGTTGATGAGATAGCCACCTGTCAGTGACCACGCTGGGTGATCTAATCCCTCCTGGCCAAACTAGTACGGACAGGCTTTGATATTTATTCATGAAATAACAAGTGAATACTGAGCTTCACATTTCTGGTTCTCGTATCACACATGGCCTTTATTTCATGCAGCAAACCTTTTTTCATTCTCACCCCCCTTCCAGTTTTTGTAACATAAGCCTAAAACATTTTTCTTATTTCCTCTGATTTTACTGTCTCTCTTGTGAACGAGCTATGAGAAAATTATATCAGAAGTCTTGCATCATTCTTGTAAATACTTTTACTTGGACATTGAATTTGATATCTTTTATTTATTACCATGTTTTAAAAAAAAAAATCATTGTGTTGTAGATCTTGTGTGTTATGCCAAATCGATGCATCAATATCATGGAAGCCATGTCTAAGGGGATTTATTCACATTTATAAATTAATCCCTGTTAATTTGAAATCAGTATTTTTTTTGTACCCATCGATTGTGGTGAATGTTTGCTGTAAAGTTCCCCTGTTGTAATGCATATTTCAAAAAAAGTTATCACTGTTTTGTGTCTTTGAGTGCAATGTTTGTATCTGTTAAGATCGTAATCCTTTTAGAGACTGGAATTTTTTTAAAGGCTAAATTGATTGAATGAATGTTCCTCAAATTGCCAACAATGATTTTTTTTCTTCTTTTAATGCTACATGGTTCCAATGAAATGTTATTTCTCAGAAAACATCAATATACATGGCTGAATACTTTTGAATCATCTTCAAGCATGTACACTGTAAGAATGAAAGCTAAGAAAATTGTAGCCAATTTTGTTCTCATTTTGAGGAGGCTCATCTAATAAGCGAGTTCGTAATTAGGATTTGCGCATGGGCAGATAAAGGTCATTTGTACCCAAATTGTAAAACCATTGAGACGAATACTCGGATGGTGCTCATTACAGTTGTGTAATCAGTATTCATTTATGCACCAACAGTACATTTATCTGATACACAGGTCGAAGTATTCTTCTCAAGAGGCAAACGAAAGGTACTCATGAAGCACCTCCATCACTTCGGCAGTGATTATTCTAAAATGCACACGTGGGAAGTATCCATCGTGTCAAAGATCTGTGGATATTTTGGGGTCATGCCGTCCAGAGCTATTTACGAACTCGCTTATTTATTTTTATAGGGCTAAATTGTTCACATGTCCTTCAATTTGGCAACAATAATATTTTTCTTTTAATGCAACATGGTTCTGATGAAATGTAATTTCTCAGAAAACATCAATATACATGGCTGAATACTTTTGGATCATCTTCAAGCATGTAAGAATGAAAGCTAAGAAATATGTTGCAAATTTAAGGAGGCACCCCAATTAATTTTTAGGTTAATGATGATGTAGTTAGGAAGAATTTGGAGTTTATTCTGAGTCTTGCACTGTACACAGAAATCAGGGAGGTGTTTCACAAAACTTGTCATCAGTGACAAATGACAGTTTTTCTTCTAAGCTACTGGAATCCTTGCTTCTGATTGGTTATCAGCAGATTTGTCACTGATTTTTGTCATTTGTCATTAAAAAAAAGCTTTGTGAAACGGGTCCCAGATGTTTTTACACAAGAACTCACAAATGTAAATGAAAGGTTGGTGCGACTCCTTTGTGATATTTCTTCAATGATATTCTCCCCACCTATAACAGCTAATAAGCCCCTCCAAAAAAGTTTGGAAATGCAAGTTTGATTAATTATATTTCTCTTGTGTATGGCATAATCATTGCTATGTTTAGTATTGTTAGATTGTGTGTTTATTTATGTTTAAAATGATATGCCATTTGTTGCGGTTATCTGACAGCGAAATTGAAGGCAAGGTCAGATGTGAAAAGTTGCAAAATGCGCTGCTTTTGTTCAGCTCTGCATTCTTCTTTCTTTGAAGAGTGTATCACTGCTGTGTAGTGCACTGCGTTACAATACCAGTGCTTACCAGTGGATTTTGCAACTTTTCACTTCAAACATAACAAATATGGTCTCATTTTAAAGAGGAATAAACATAATTTCTAGGGATACTGCGCAAAGTAATGATGTATAATGACAAGAGAGATATACTCGATCAAACTTGAGTTTCCAAACTTTTTTTGAGCGGTTTATTAGAAGAATGGAGCAGCTCACAAATTTCACCTTTTCCAAAAATAAACTCAACATTCATATAGACCGGGAGCCAGGGGGGGTCAACCTAGCTGGGAAGGAAACCAATTTTCATGTGCACAGATGTAAATATCGCATACCTTCACATAACAAATTGACCGTCTGGCATGTTGTAAGTGGTGGGTGTGGCCAGGGGGACGCCCCCAACCAAAAAAGTGGCCCTTTTGACGACAAAATAGTATTTTGTAAATAATATTTTAAGGAAACCTTGAACCACCCTGAGTTTGGTGTCATATGAAAGAGAGTTAAATTATCTACATTTTGATATCAATTTTAAAGAATTTAGGATTAATTAACATCGCAAATTTAAGTAAAAAACATGATTTTTGTGATTTTTTTCGAAAAATTGAATTTTACCAAAAAACATTATTTTCCATATATCAAAATTGAAAAATTAATTTTTGTAATAATTTTCCAGGAATTTGCTTATGTACAACGAAAATATCCTGTGCGAGGGAGAGGTTTATATATCATTTCTATAAAAAGTTATAGCAATCCAAAGTTATTGATTTGATTTCCACAAAAACAACATTTTTGCCCACATGTGTATTAACTGTATGCATATACGTGCATTAGTGTATTAAGGACCTGTTTGGTGTGTTTACATCGAGTTTTAAAGATAACTTTGAACTAAAACCTCTAATCACCATGTATTTGGTGTCAAAAGATGGATAATTAAAATACCTTCATTCTGATATCAATTTCAATGAGTGATGTAATGTGTGAAATATAAATTTTGAGCCAAAAAGTGCTTTATTGTAGATATTCCTCTGATTTTGGCCAGTATATCGGTATATTACTGTAACTGGACAAAAGTAATAAGACATTTAGTGGTGCAGAAAGTTCAAAGGATTTGGAGCACTGAGTGCAATTGATAAGGTTCTTCTTCTGTACTCTGGGATGTTTGAGGAAATGTGGACATTGGCAGTTGCCTCCTCCCCCCCACCCGGCACCCCGCCCCCTTCCAACCGCTTGTCATAATCTTGCCCATGCCCAAACAAGTTAGTGCATCGATCAACATGAATATAATATAATATTGCCATATTTGGTTAATGCCCTTGCCTCCCCCCCCCCCCACCCCCAACCCGCCCCCAAAAGGGGGGAGGAAGGGAAAGGGAAAGAGGAGAGCTAAAAGGGAACAAAAACAGGAAGAAGAAAAGAAAAGGGTGAAAAGAAGGGGGAACAGTTGTGATTAATCCCGCCAAAAACGTGTGGATCGAAGGGGGGAAGGCGAAAAACTCTTCCCCCCCCCCCATCAAACTTAAAACAGAGAGAAGAATGGGAAGTGAAAGGAAAACAGTGGAGAAAGGGAAAGAAAAAAAAAAGAGAAAAAAGAAAGGTAGGGGGGATCAGTTGCGATTTTCCCGCCAACAAGGTGTAGATCGGGGGGGGGGGGCAGGGGGAGGGCCACTGGCGTACTGATGGGGGAGGGGGCTTGTGGGACACAGATCCTCCCAAGTATAATTCAAACGTGGTTTATTTCTAAATCGATACCGCTGATTTACAAATGTTGCTGAAATAAAGAAAAAAAATCCGAAATTTTTACGTAATATGTAGTACATTATCATTTTTGATGCGTTTTTGTTGGAAAATGGCAAATTCTCCAACATCAAATATGCAATTGATAAGTTCTTCTTCTGTTGTTTGAGGAAATGTGGGCATTGGCAGTTGCCTCTCCCCTCCCCCCCCCCCCACCCCGCCCTTTCCAGCCGCTTGTCATAATCTTGCCCATGCCCCAGCCAAGTTAGTGCATCGATCAACTATTGCCATATTTGGTTTAATGGTTTATTTTGCCTGACTACTAAGAAAACACGTGTATGCTTGTAAGCAACCAATAATCCGCATAATTCCTATTGTGATTAGATTAGAATGACATAAACTTTTCTCATAAAATAGTTTAGGCTAGGTATGCAAAGTTATTTTTTCTCTCGATTTCAAGTAATTTGGTACAAAAATTGAAGGAACATTATGAAACTACTTGATTCGATTGAATCTCAGTTTAAGTTTTTTGTGTGTTTCAAATAGAAGGTTCGACAACTTCAATTTGAAATCTTTTCTGCTTAGCCATGAATAATTTAAAATCGTTCACTCCTTGAACTTCTAAGGATCTCACAATATGATGATTGGAAAATGTCATAAGGTAGAAGCTTATAATTTTGATAGCACACCACCGTCTACATTAGAGTTCTATCATGCCCGTTGCATAAATAATATGGTCTTTTTGAACATGTTGCTGAAATGACACGATTTCCTGTGAATTTTTTTCATTTTGGGGGGTAAATTATACTTTTGTTGGAAAATGACATGTCTCCCAAATTTACAGTTAGGCAAAAAAATATGCTTATTTAGAAGCCTTCATGTCAGGGCCTGCAGAAGGGTAGGGCTCGAGCACCCCCTCACTTTAAAAAAAAAGTATGTTAAAGAGAAAAAGAAAGAAAGAGAGAAAGAAAGAATGAGTGAACTGCCAGTGTCACAAATGAGGTATCAAAATATGCTCTTCTGACCGTAATTAAATACCTAAAACCCCT